AGGGGCAAGGTAGGGTGGAAGGGGTGGGGCAGGGCAGAAGGGGTGGGGCAGGGAGGGAGGGGCAGAGTAGGAGGGGTGGGGCAAGGTGGGAGGGATTTGGCGGTTCACTGAACCATCCATAACATTAGCTATGGGTTCTCCCGAACCCAGGCGAGCCAGTATTAGAGCCACAAGAAATTCAATGGGTCCATTTACTACAATGTTGAATTGCAGAAGAAAGGGAACCGTCGTATCGCTTGCCATAACATTCTCGTCGAGCAACTTAATTAAAGTGACCTGCATTTACCATTATATTAAACAGTCCTCTCTCCTTCCGGATTAGGAGCCAAGCATGAAAATGAGACAGATAATTATCCAATAAGCTGCACTGCATCTAGAGTTTTTAAACAGAGGCAGTAATGGGAAAGATTTAAAGTATGAAATTAAAATCATCTCCCAGGAGTGAAGTATTAGATACGTCTCTGTTCCACGATGCAATTTAGGCACAAAAATTTGCAAACCCAATTATGTATAACACATGGATTCCGATCGCTCTCATATTAATATTAGTCTCCTTCCTCAAATGAGGCTGTTTTTCAAACCCTACCCTGTTTTCCTGAAAATAAGACCTACCCCATGAAAGTAAGTCCTAGCTTGATTTTTACACGTATGCCCAATATAAGCCCTACCCCCAAAATAAGCCCTAATTAAGATCTCACCTGGTGGACGGGTAAAAATTAAGCTAGGATGGGGATGGGGGGGTGGAGCTGCCCTACTACTTGCCTTTGGACAGATGTAGCCAGGCCTCGCACACCCTGACACCTGCCTTGCCAGCCCATTTCTTCTGCAACTGGCAAAGCTGGCAAGGCTTTCCTGAAGGCCTCTGTAACTGATAACAAAGCTCTGGATCGATCCAGAGCTCTCTTATCAGCTGCAGAGGCCTTCAGGAGAAGCCTTGCCAGCTGCAGAAGTAGTAGTTCCTGAAGGCCTCTGGCAGCGAAAAGGAGGCCGGGGGCGACGCACACAAGAGAGGTTTGTCAGTGGACGACATTCCCCGAAAATAAGATCTGGTGCCTTTTTTGCTGGCAAAAAAAAGACAAGGTCTTATTTTCAGGGAAACATGGGTAGTAAATGAAATACGGAAAAAAAATAACAATTCTGTTTGAGATGTACATTTACTAAGGGCGCCTTCCCAGGTAGACGTGCGTTGCAGGTTATCAAAATAATGCTGTAAAGATGATTTTCTAATCAAAAGTCTAACAGGCCTCTTGGAGAAAAGGCTACACAAACAGCCACGGAAACATTCTTTAAATGTTGTCAGAAACAATGCTGACTTGTAGAAGAATAAAAAAAATTGCACCGCAGTCACTCATGGGAATTTTTGCTAAGGAAGTCCCATATGCTCTTATTTCTATAGCAACACAATCCCTCAATGTTGTATCCTGAACAAAAGCTATCCCAACAATAAGACCAAAAGTACAAATAACAACAACAACAATAATAGTGTTCGACTAGTGATTTGTGATACGAAACACAGCATGGTTATCTCGTTTGCTGTGTATACTGTCATTTTTGTGTATGATAATGATAATGAGAGGAGGAGGAGGAGGAGGAGGAGGAGGAGGAGGAGGAGGAGGAGGAGGAAGAGGAAGAGGAAGAAGAAGAAGAAGAAGAAGAAGAAGAAGAAGAAGAAGAAGAAGAAAACTTTTTGAATTAATAGTTGCTTAAAAATCACCTTCCTTATTTCTATGGTATTACCTCTGTTAGGTATTTTCGGGGTTGCATAGCAGAATTGTTTTTTTTAAATTTTTCTTTTTCTGCAAGGAATAAAATCCTTCACCTGAAACTAGAGAGATGTATAATGGCACCATACATACAACGCACAGCAACACAAAATTGAACAGCAAAGATTTTCACACAGACGAGGACAAAAATGCAGCTTTTTCTTTCTGCTTTTGTAGAATCCCAAAAGATTTGGAAGCTTAAGTATGTATTTCATTCTGGAGGAGACAATGCTTTAGGGCCGTGATGGTGAACCTACGGCATGTGTGCTGGAAGTGGCATGCAGAGCCATTTCTGCCAGCACTCAAGAGGTCATCTGGAAGAGCCCCACTATGTATGCATGCCCGCCCCCCGCCAGCCAACTGATTGTTGGGTATCTGCGCATGCGTGGGGGGGAAATGTGTGTGCATGCACAGGGGAGTGGAGGGGTCATGTGCGCATTACATCATGGGTGCAGGCACGCAAGCGCATGCATGCGTGCCTCACAATTTCAGCACACGACGTGGAAAAGGCTAGCCATCATTGCTTTAGGGCAAATTTAGTCCTTGTCTTACGACCGCAACTGAGTCCAAAATTTCTAACGTTGCTAAGAGCGTTTGTTAATTTTGCTTTTTCTTGCCATAGTTGTTAACTAAATCATTGCCTTATTATGTTAGTAACATGGTTGTTAAGTGAATCTTAATGCTTTGCTTGTCCAAAGGTCGCAAAAGGGGATCATGTGACTCCAGGACACTGCAACCACCATAAATATGAGCCGGTTACGAAGCACCTAAATTTTGATCACCTGACTGTAGGGATGCTGCAAAGGTCCTAACTGTGAAAAATGGTCATAAGTCCTTTTTTCTCAGTGCCATTGTAACTTTGAACGGTCACCATATGAACACCAAAGAATGTATTGTTACTATCTATTATACACAAGAATCCAGCTAGCTAAGAGTTGAAGCTAAACTAGTGTAGATAAGGGGTCAACGGAATTCACAAGGGTCGGATTTAGGTCTCTTGTAACGATTCCAAACTGATGACATGTTTAAAGCTGCCTTCCAGCTCAGCCTGCTTTTCTCCCATACCACCTAAAACTTCTTATCTTGGGTGCTGCAACAATGTGAAATCCCAAAATGTACTTTTTTTAAATACTAAATTATTTTGTCTTTCATCAAGAGACTTGCAGGGCTGAATCTACCATCTGTTCCCGGACAGGAAGGATGTATTATTACTATCTATTATACACAAGGATCTAGTCAATTAAGAATTGACGCTAAACTAGTACTAGATAAGGGGTCAGCAGAATTCAAAAGAGTCGATTTGGGTCTCTTGTAACGATTCCAAACTGATGACGTGTTTAACGCCACCTTCCAGTTCAGTCTGCTTTTCTCCCATACCACCTAAACTTCTCATCTCGGGTGCTGGAAGAATGTGAAATCCCAAAATGTACTTTTATCGTGGTCTTTTTTTAAAACAAAAATGCTAAATTATTATTTTGTCTTTCTTCAAGGACTTGCAGGCCTGAATCTACCGTCTGTTCCCGGACAGGACTTGTCCTGCAGAGTTACCAAGGAGACAGATGGGGCTGTCAACTAGGAGTGCAGCTGGTGCAGAAAGTAAACACAAGGACAGGATTAGCTTAGGTAGCAGAATTAGCAAACTGAGTGTAAACCTCAGGGTTCATGTCACTGTGTCATGTGAGAAGGAGCAGAGTGCCCTTTAAAAATGGGCAAAGTAGTTATTTTGGTGCTACTAAGCTTACTCATGTGGACAAACAGAAATCTGTCTTCCTCATCCAAACATTTTAAGAAGGGTCAACCTATGCGAAATGATTTTGACTTCTGATGGATGACAACTGCTACTACCATTGTTAACAATGTTTGGAGTTGCAATTGGCTCCCTACTCAATACTGCATGTCTATATTTTGACTGTTTACTCAGCAATTCCAAACATCTAGTTGCTGTGCTACCTTAGAGAAGGAAGACTAGATAAGAAGCAGTAGTAAACTTTCTACGAGATAAATACAACAATAATTTGTTAAAAGAGGGTTTTAACAGACTACTCTTGCCTGTTTTGATGTTGAGTTGGCCATGCCCACCCAGCCACATGACTGCCTAGCCACGCCCACTCAGCCCATCATTGGGCAGATCGTATTAGTGGCCTGCGGGATTTAAAATTATGAATTTAGTGGTCCCTGAGGTCCGAAAGGTTGGTGACCCCTGTGTTAGATAACATACAAGTATAAGGTTAGAAATAAAAACTAAACAAATGAGAGAAAAAATAAACATGGAAAGGGAATTCATGAGGCACATTCATGAGGAATTCATGAGGCACATTAATGAGGCACATTCACGGGCTGGGTGTCATCAATCATGTTCTCCAATGAAGGATTTTCGCAGGGCGGTGTGATTACCGGGGCGTGGCACAAAGATAACAAAGTCACCAAGTAGATAAATTCCCTTTAATGCCTCCAACTTGGTCCACAATGTTCAATTATCCTCGGCGGGAGATCAAGCTCTTCCAAAAACAGTCTACAAAGGGAAGAAATGCAGTCCAAACCCAAAATACAGATAAAGTAGAAATTTTAAAAAACCAACACAAACCACGCTGAAGTAATTAACATGACAGACCAGGATAACTTGCAGACTTCCAAAACATAATGAGGCACACAAAGTTGGGAGGACGTCAAAACCCAGATAAGTCTCGACAAAGATAATGCACACTTTGCTTCCAGCAACTTTGCCATGCGCAGTTTACCCTTTTAAACAGTCTTCCCAGCTGCAGCCCATGAAGGGGATCAGGGCCCTTTCCTCCCCCGTAAACCACATTGCTCCCTTATCCATTCCTCCTTGCATGCCCTAGGATGAACAGGAGGTGGGCGTGGGTCTTCTTCTGAATGCCCAGCCGGCCTGTGCCCTTCCCCAGTTTCCTCCACAGCCACAGGAGCCACACTCTCACTCCCTGCCAGCTGTTCCACCTCTCCCTTGGAACCAGATTCCAACTGGGGCATGACAGGTGGGATGTATTTCTGGTTTTAAACTGCTGTCCTGCTTCTTCAGATTGTCCCCCCCGCCCCCCTTGTTTATGGCAACTCAAAAACAGCCATGGGAATGTTTTACGACTTGATACCTTCTTTGTGAAAGGAGAAAATTTCCCTTTCAATAAGAATAAAGGTAGTCTTGACTTATAACCATTCATTTTATCGACAGTTCAAAATTACAGCGGAACTGGAAAAAAGTGAGTTATGGCCGTTTTCCACATTTACGACCGTTGTAGTTTCCCCGTGGTCACCTGATCAAAATTCAGATGCTTGCCATCTGGCTATGGTCTCCTGAGGTCAGGTGATCATTCTGGATGACCTTCTGAGCAGCCACGTCCGTAGGGAAGCCAGATTCACTTAACAATGGTATTACTATATTAGAACGGCAGGGATTCACTTAACAACGGTGTGGCAAGAAAGGTCGTACGCTGGGACAAAATTCACTCAACAATTGTCTCGCCTAGCAAGGGTAATTTTGGGGTCAATTGTGCTCGTAATTCAAGGACTCCATTGAATTGCCCACAGATATTGCTATTAAATGAGCCACTTGCAAGCTCTTCCCCCACCAAGTACTTTTTCCTACAGCTTCTACTCTTAAAAAAAAAAAAACAGATGGCACCTAAATTATCTCTCCCATCTGCTTAAGACCGCTGCCTTCCCATTTGCTGTTATGTTTTCCATGGGAGGAAAAGATAAAAAAGGAAGAAAAAGGACATTTTCAAGAAGAAGAGACCGCCAATTGCAGCTTTTACATTATATACACCTCTTCCCTAATTAATTCTTCGGGCTAATGCTGTAGAGCCGCGTGAATGGAGGGGGTGGGGTTTCTGCATCCGGACTCCCCACTCACAACATGTATTAAATGAACAGACCAGAAGATGAACGGAAGCAAAAATGGCAAGTGACAATCAAGGAACAAACTGGGAGGTGATCACAAGAAAAGGAGAAGTAAACCTGCTTCTAAAAAAACGAATTTGTAGTTTGAGCGCCTGTGCGTAATATGATGATATTATACCTGAGTTACACTGACCATACTGACTCCTCATCTATGTTGTGGCCTGTAAGCCACTGGCTCCTCCAGGAGCCAAATCAGAGGAGGAGGAGGAGGAGGAGGAGGAGGAGGCAGCATGCGGGGTCAGGATCAGCATCAAGGCAACCTGAGAGCTCCAAGGGGAAAGAGGGAATGGAGCTGGCACAGAGAGAGAGAGAGAGAGAGACAGAGACAGAGGCGGAGCCTGGGCCATCCATCAGCCCTCAATTGGAGGGTTAACAGCCCCCAGGTCTGGAAATGGCTGATGAGGAAGAGGAGGAATAGCTAGGCCCAGTGCCTGATGCGTGGATGCACAGAAAGCAGAGAAGAGGAGAGCAGTGGAAATCTGTGAGCCAGTCCTTGGGATGGAAGAGCCAGGAGGTGGCTGATGAGGAAGAAAAAGAACAGCTGGGTTCAGTGCCTGATGCGTGGATGTGCAGAAGGCAGAGGAGAGGAGAGCAGTGGAAATCTACGGGCTGGTCCTTGGGATGGAAGAGCCAGGTTTGGAGGTGGCTGATGAGGAAGAGGAGGAACAGCTGAGTTCAGTGCCTGATGCATGAATGTGCAGAAGGGAGAGGAGAGTAGAGCAGTGGAAATCGATGGGCAGAAGAGACAGAAGAGCCACCACTGCTAGCAAAGTCCCACCTTAGCTCTGGGGATAACAGGCGGTGGGCAGAGATGAATAGGTATGGCAGACAATTACTCATCTCCCTGCTGAACAGACTTGTTAGCCAGCAGTGAGAGAAACTTTTTGCCAGGGCTGCTGGCACTCCTAATAAAGGAATTTAGAGTTCACTTCAGAGGGTTTGTCATGATTGGGGAACTGGGCCAGAAGTATCTATTTTTAGACTGCTAGCTCGATTTTAAATCTTCCTCTGGCTTTCATGGCTCAGGATCAGAGTATTTGGAGATAAGCTGGAAGATATTATAACTACAGGTAGTCCTCGACTTACAACAGTTCATGTCATGCCCCTGTTGGAGACTGACTCTGAGGGAGAGGACAAACAGCTGACAGGGAGTAGAAGTGTGGCTCCGGAGGTTGTGGAGGAGGCTGGGGAAGGGCAGAGGCCGGCTGGGCAGTCAGAGGAAGACCCAGGCCCATCCCCTCTCCATCCTAGGACATACAGGGAGGAGAGGATAAGGGAGAGACATGAATGGCATGGTCTATGGGGGAGGAAAGGGCCTTGATCCTCTACATGGGCTGCAGCTGTGAGAACGTGCTGGAAACAAAGCATGGAAATATTTCTGGTCTGTCATTCCTCTCTGAATTTGGCGTCCTTCCCAGTGTGTTCCGATCTCTGTGGACGTCTTCAAGCCCTTATCTTGCCTGGTTCCCTTAATTGCTTCAATGTGGTTTTGTTGTTTTTATTCTTTAGAATTTATAGGCATTTTTAGTTTAAATGGCATTTCCTCCTTTTCGTAACTGCTTGTGGGGGAGTTTTTTGTCTTCTGTCAAGGATATTTGGAGCTTGGAAGCAAAGTGAAGGAATAAAAGGGGCTTCAGCTGTTTTTGTGACCGTGTTTATTTTGTATACCACCCTGGGTCATCAGAGTTCATTTAGTGACAGTTCGGAGTGGAAAAAAATGACTTATGTCCGTTTTTCACACTTACGACCATTGCTGCATCCCGAGGTGACGTGGTTTACATTCAGATGTTTGACAACTGGTCCATAGTTATGACCGTTGCAGTATCCTGGAGTCACGGAATCTGCTTTTGCAACCTTCTGACCAGCGAAGTCGACGGAGAAGCCAGATTCACTTCACAATGGTGCTACTCATTTAACAACGGCAGTGATTCGCTTAACAAATGTGGCAAGGAATGTCGTTAAAATGGGGCACAACTCACTGAACGAATTTCCCACCTATCAATGTAAGTTTTGGGCTCAATTGTGGCTGTAAGTCGAGGACTATATTTCATGAATCAAAGTTGTGTTTTCCTGGGTAACTCTTGTTGATTTAGAGTGGCTCTTGTAATGAAGCTTTCAACTTACTTACTCAAAGATATTAAGCGACTAAAATAATCTGGGGAAAATAATTGCTTTTTCCTAAGCTGTTAGGAATGGCCAAACTGAAATGAAATAAGAATTGTTTTCAAGGGATGGGGGCTCTCTGAGCTTGGTTGTTTTCTTGCAGACATTTCATCACCAAACTACGTAACATCATCACTGCCACTAAGGAGTGGGGCTCGCTCTCAGTTTTACATTCTACTTGCTTGTCTTGGTAGTGTTGGCTGAGCGATCTTGGAAGTTGGGTTGGTCTACTGTTAGCTTGTTTGGCAATTCCTTGATTGGGATATTGTTTTCTTCTTGATTGGGGGTTTGATGTTAATCTTGGGGTTAATCTGAATTGTTTTGCCTATAAAACCTGCTTGCTAATTTATAACCACTACTGTGCTTGGAAAAGAATATGCAATTAAGTAAAGCAAACCATGTCACAGAGTCACTGTTTAATTTTAGCTTCGCCAAGAATCCACATATAATTTATCCTCTTTCTGCTGAAAGAAACAATGGATGAGAAAGCTAAAAACTGGGCATAGAATGAGGGCTTTGTTTTTCATTTTCCCCTTGCCTGCATTCAGAAGTTAAATATGGGGAAAACTAATAACGCTCACACATTATGAGAGATACACAGGCACCCCTTGATATGAGTGAAGTCAAGTTGCCCACGCCCACCCAGTCACACGCCCACCCAGTCACATGACCAAGCCAAGCCCACCCATGGCATGATGACCAAGCCATGCCCACCAAGTCACATGACCATCTTGCCACGCCCACCCAGTCACACAAACACCATGCCACGTCCACCCAGTCACGACACCCAGTCATGCCCACCGTCACATGACCACCTTGCCACACCCACCCAGTCACACAAACGCCTTGTCACACCCACCCAGTCACATGCCCACCCAGTCACATGACCAAGCCATGCCCACCCAGCCAGCTACATGACCACCTTGCTACGCCCACCCAGCCACATGACCAAGCCACACCCACCCAGTCACATGACCACCCAGCCAATGACCAAGCCACGCCCACCCAGTCACATGGCCACCTTGCCATACCCACCCAGTCACATGGCCAGTCATACGGCCACCGAATTACACGTCCATCCAGTCACATGACCACCAAGCCACGCCCACAGAACCAGTAGTAAAAAAAAATGAATAACCACCACTGGATATACACTTTGACTTACAACTACAATTGAGCCCAAAATTTATGTCACCACGTGAAACATTGGTTACATGAGTTTTGCCCCATTTTACGACTTTTCTTGCCAGAGTGGTTAAGCAAATCATTTGCATTTGTTAAGTGAATAACGTTGTTGTTAAGTGAATCTGGCTTCCTCGTTGGTTTTGCTTGCCGGAAGGTCGCAAAAATCTGATCACATTACATTGCCCCCCCCCCACTCCCCAGCACACTGCGACCATCATAAATATGAGTCACTGGCCCAACATCTGAATTTTGACCGCATCACCATGTGTTGGGAGTTCCCCGGCAGCCGGTGCAGACGGCAGCGGAATCGGACAGTGAGGATGAAAGGGAACCAGTCAGGGAGTCTGGGGAGGACTTGGATCCGATGCAGAGATGGGGCCAGGACCATCTGGGAGTGGGGTGCTGCCTCCGGAGTCTTCGGAGCCTGGCAGCACCGAAGCAGGGGACCCAGGGGAGCCTGTTTCGGTGCGCGCATGAGCAGAGCTGCCAGAAGGCGAGAGCAGTTGAGACAAAAGGGGAAACTCAGGAATAAGGCCGGGATGTGACTGTACCTCCCATAAGGGATAAAAGTCAACCCTCAATGATGAAACCTTTGCAGGAAGCAAAGTAGTTCAATAGATTCCAAGTCGTCCTTGAAGCTCTGTACTCTGGCTGGTTTTTTTCTAGGTTTTTGGGTTGGTTTATGTTAAGCCTTAATTGGACTTCTGTTTATTGGCAGCATTCTACAGCATTGAAAAGCATATTCTTATCTGGAGGAACTGTGTATAATGAGTTGTGGCTAGGAATGCAAGTAATTCCCAGTGTCGGATTAAAATAGGTTTTACTTTTGAAATCAGTTTGTGTTTTATTAAGTTTGACAAAGCCTGGGTCAGAACACCATGCTGCAAAGGTCGTACATGTAAAAAAATGGTTGTTGCATTTTTCAGTGTAACTTTGAATGGACGCTAAATGAACCCTTGTAAGTCGAAGACTACCTGTAGAGTTTTTTGTTCCTTGGGAAAACTATTCATCAACTGCTCCTCAATAAGATTCTAAAATAAGGAAAAACAACAGATGACAAAGGAAATGTGTATCTTGGGTACAGCAAGCAGTAAAAAGGAATGGACTTTTTTTTTAAAGACAAAACTTCCAAACAAGACACAGATGGCCGAATCGAGGTATTATATAAATGTAATACCAATTCATCAAGCCACACAGTACTTCTTGCATTGTCTTAACTGAATAGAATAGAACAGAACAGAACAAAACAGGAAAATTAAAAAAAATAGAGTAGAATTAATGGAATGGACTGGAATAGAACAGAACAGAAAATATGGAATGGAATAAAATGGAAAATGTGGGGTGGGATGGGATGGGATAGAATAGAATAGAAAATATGGAATAGAACAGAACAGAAAGGAATAGAATAGAATAGAATAGAATAGAATAGAATAGAATAGAATAGAATAGAATAGAATAGAAAGGAGGAGAAGAGAAGAGAAGAGAATAATATCGAGAATAGAACAGAAAAAGAGAATAAGAATAGAGAAGAGAAGAGATGGAATGGAATGGAATAAAATAGAAAATGGGGTGGGATGGGATAGGATAGAAATAGAATAGAACAGAATAAGAATAACAATAGACTAGCACAGAAAAAGAAAAAATAAGAATAGAATGGAATGGGAGAGGAGAGGAGAGGAGAGAAAATATGGAATGGAATAAAATAGAAAATGTGGGATGGGATAGGATGGAATAGGACAGGATAGGAACTGAATGAGAATAGAATAAAATAGGAATGGAATGGGAATAGAATAGAATAGGAATAGAATGCAGAATAGAACAGAATAGAATAATAGAATAGAATATTAGAATATAGAATAGAATAATAGAATATAGAATAGAATGTAGAAGAATAGAATAGAATAGAATAGAATAGAATAGAATAGAATAGAATAGAATATTGGCCAAGTGTGATTGGACACACAAGGAATTTGTCTCTGATGCAGAAGCTCTCAGTATACATACAAGCAACAAGTGATAAATCATGATCATATCATGAAAAATGCATTCATTATAGATAAAATAATTTCAAAAGATCAGCCCTGCACAGTGCTTTGTCACCAAAATGGTCACACTTGAATGGAAAAGGCAATGCTGATTTTTTCACCACACCGCTGGTCCTTTCCTTACAAAGCCCCCCAAAATCATTCCCAGGGGTCTCTGTTCTGCTGTTATTTCAGAAAAATTGGGGAAGGGAGAGAAAGTAACCCCCCTCCCTCCTCAGCTGCTCATCCTGTGGCTGCAATCTGCTGTGCAACCCACTGGTACAGGACTCGAAAAAGCAATAAAATTGGGAGGTGGAAAATGTGGCTTGAACATTCCTTCCCCATTCAACACTGCCAGGGAAAATCTTCCGCCTTGTCAAGTCCAATTTCAGAACACCACGCTGTGACACCAGGCAAGCAAGACTGACTCATTTTGCCTCGCAATGTTAAATGGAGAGGCGCTTTCTGAACATCAGGTGTGTAGTGAAAGTGATTCTGTAATCTTTGTGCAACAGTTATCACTCCGGTACCTCTCAAAGCCTCCAGCAATTTTTTTTTTTTTTAGCTCTTGGGTCTTCCTCAGTAATATCTTTGGCTGTCATAAAGCATTAACTCCCTTTCTTCATCAATAATTTCAAAAAGGATTGTGTATCTTTGTAAGGATGAACAGGTTGACTTGCAACCATTAGAATAGAGATAGAATAGAATAGAATAGAATAGAATAGGGAATGGAATAGAATAGCATAGAATTAGAAATAGAATAGAATAGAATAGAATATAGAACAGAACAGAACAGAAGAGAACAGAAGAGAAAAGAACAGAAGAGAACAGAATATAGAATAGAATAGAATAGAACAGAATACAGAATAGAATACAGAATAGAATAGAATATAGAATAGAATACAGGATTAGAGAATAGAATTAAGAATAGTATTAGAATTAGAATAGAATAGAATAGAAACAGAATTAAGAATAGAATAGAATTAAGAATAGAATAGAATCAGGAATAGAATAGAATATAGAACAGAATAGAATTAGGAATAAAATACAATATAGAATAGAATAGAATAGAATATAGAATAAAATAGAAGAGAATATAGAAGAGAAGAGAAGAGAATAGAGAATAGAATAGAATGGAATTAAGAACAGAGTAGAATCGAATCAAAACGAAAAGAATCGAAAAGAATCGAATAGGATAGAATAGAGTAGATGGAACAGAATAGAATAGAAAATATGGAAATGGAACAGAACAGAACAAGAATAGAATAGAAAAAGAATCAGACAAGAAATAAAACAGAACAGAACAGAATTCTTTATTGGCAAAGTGTGATTGGACACAGAAGGAATTTGTCTCTGGTGCAGAAGCGCTCAGTGTGAGAGAAGTTATAATGGTACTGAAAACAGGGACCAGTTTTCGACCACTGCAGCATCTCCATGGTCACATGATCAAAATTCGGATGCTTGGCAACTGGCAAGTACTTATGACAGTTGCCCTGTCCCAGGGTCACGTGATCTCCACTTGTAACCTTCCCAGCTGCTCTCCAACATGCAAAGTCAATTGGGGGGGGGCAACATTTGCTTAATGACTGCCCATTCACCTAACAACTGCGGCGATTCACTGAACCACCATTGCAAGAAATGGGACTGTGATGACCCAGAGTGTAACACAAATGTAACAAACTCCAAAACATAAATAAATGTCTTTTAATGCCTCCAACTTGGCCCCACTGTTCAATTATTCTCAGTTGGAGATAAAACTTACTCAAAAATAGTCTTCAAAAGAAAGCAATACAGTCTGAACTTAATGAGCAGATAGAGGTGAAATAAAAAACTAAAACAAACTACAATGAAGGAATTTCCACAACGGACCAGGGTAAGTAATTACCAACTTCAAGGAGATAACAAGGCACAGTCTGTTGGAAGGACGCCAACCAAGATAACTTGAGCCCAAATAACACACGCTTTGCTTCTGGCAACGGTGTGTTTTAACCGTCTCTCTTATATACTATTCCCCCCAGCTGCAGCCAATGAGGGGGATCATGGCCGTTTCCTCTCCCGTAAGCCACGTTGCTCCCTTCTCCGTTCCTCCCTGCGTGCCCTAGGATGAAGAGGGGATGGGCCTGGTTTTTCCTGACTGCCCAGCCAGCCTCTGCCCTTCCCCAGCCTCCTCCACAACCTCCGGAGCCACACCTCCACTCCCTGTCAGCTGTTCCTCCTCTCCCTCAGAGTCTGACTCTAACAAGGGCATGACAGGGGCAAAACTCGCTATTAGTCACCTTCTTGCTTTAACGGTTTTGGGCATAAGTCGAGAACTTTCTGAGAGCAGAGTTAGAAACCTCACCTTTGCCAACTCATCAATGAAACACACGTGGGTCACAGGATCCCTTTTCTTAGACAAGACCTTCTGGAGATGTTGCACCTGGAAAATAACAGACATGCTATATGTGAGGTCCAGATTCTTGAGATTGTTGATGGAGGCTGCAAACCGAGAATGGGATTCCAAAAATCCCAACAGCCGGTTCTCTGCCTGGTTGCTGGGTGGGCATGGCCATAGTGGGCGTGGCCTACCGATAGAACTTCCAGGAGGGCTGTTTTTCACCTTCCCCAGAGTTTGGAAGCTTCCCTCGGGTCTCTGGGAAGGCAAAAGCAACCTCTCCTGGGCTTCGAAAGCTGCCCGGAAGCCGGAAACAGGCCCATTTCTGGACTTCCGGAACTTACGGTTCGGCCCATTTTTCTCCCTCCCAGAGCCTCCGCATGGACCCTGCACTGACCTGCATCCAAAATGGGCCGCGTGGAGACTCTTGGGAGGAGTAGGCGGGGTGGGGCCAGCCAGTTGGTTCAACTATTGGTTTGGCGAACCAGATGTAAATTTAACATCCGGTTCATCTGAACCGGCCCGAACCGGCTGAATCCCATGCCCGCTGCACACCAAGGAAAGGATTTGAAAGTACCTGTCCACAAGCCGCACAGATCTGATCCATCAATTTCTCCATATTGGTCCAGAGAGCTGCTCGGAAGGCTGCAGTATTTCCTGGGGTGGGCATAGCTGCTCGACCGGGACCACCTAAATGTGTGTTGTTTATTTTAAATTAATCCGTCTCAAAAATCCATCTCTGTAAAGCTTATGCAAACTACGCACGTTTTGAATGCCTACATTGCTGTGCAGATCAAAAGCAAGAAGTTAACAGAATAAAAGAGAGGATTTGGGCCCTCCTGCAATGATAACAGGATAATAGAGTCGGAAGGGACTTTGGTGGTCTTCTAGTCTATCCCTTTGCTCAAGCAGGAGATACTATTTCAGACAAAATAGCTGTCTGGGATCTTATTCATAGATGTTATACTCTCAGATTGGAAATGGAGATGTGGGTACTCTATTTTTCTTATCTTCATTTTTAAGTGCTTTGGTTTTGTTGTATTGCGAACAGTTGCAGGGGTGCATCCACAATTTAGTTGTACTTGTACAATGACAATAAAGTTCTTCTAATTCTAATTAAAACCCTCCAGTGATGGAGCACCCGTAACTTCTGGAGGCATTGAACTGAGCTATGGCTCAATATAAGGCAAGGCAGGAAGCAATGGATGGAAACTTAGTCGAGGAGACAAGCAACCAAAACAGAATACCGAATAACAGAGTTGGAAGGGACTGTGGAGATCTTCTAGTCCACCCCTTTGCTCAAGAAGGAAACACAGCTTCCTCTTATAAATCATCCTGGGGAAAATGTGATACTTGGATTGTTAAGGTTTTTTTTTTCAATCTAGAACTAAGGAGAAATTTCAAAACAGAACAATTTAACCAGTGCCTCCAGAAGTGCTCCAACACTGCAGGTTTTTAAGAAGAGACTGGACTAGAATGGTATAGGGTTTCCTGCCTTAGCAGGGGGCTGGACTAGAAGACCTCCAAGGTCCCTTCCAGCTCTGTTATAATTGCAGGCAGGCCAAAATCTAAGCTTGGTTTCTTGGTTCAGCAGAGGATTGCAAACAACAACAACAACCAGGGATGTTGTGGAGAATGTCTGGAAAACCAACCATGATTGTGTGGAATTCCTGCCCAGCCACAAAGGTGGTATGAAACCACATCCAGTGACATCTGATGTTGAAAATTAGGGCTGCTAGGAATCTGTTAAATTAAAACAAAAGAAAAAAAAAGGCTGAAGTTTAAACCCAGCCAACTACACTGTTCACTTTAATCAGGCAGTTTTGGGGGAAACATGGTATAAGAATGGTATCTTTACCTGTATTAATAATTCAACGTGAAAATTGCATTTAACTGCTTTTGCAATAAAATGTCAAAGCTCCACAATGGATAATTCCTCTTTTTCCTTCATCAATATTTTATGTCAGATTAAAGGCTGAGATTACAAGCGGTTTTTGGTATAATGCATTCTCCGTTAATGTAGGATATTCTATTAGCTAAAATTAGAGGCACCGGTCAAAATCCCAGCAAAACAAACTCAAAATGTACTGCATTTCAACCTTTTTATTATTATCCTTGTTAATATGACTTGAAATCTGAAAAGAATGAAGGAATTTGCTGAAATACTAAGTACAGGTAGTCCTCGGCTTACAACAGTTCATTTAGAGACCAAAATTACAACAACAGTGAAAGAAGTAACTTCTGACCGTTTTTCGCACTTTATGACCATTGTAACATCCCCATTGCAACTTCTTCTCCAGAACATCTGAAGGTCAGACAAGAAGCAATAGATGGAAACTAACCAAGGAGAGAAGCAACCTGGAATTAAGGAGAAACTTCCTAACAGGGAGGACGATTAACCAGTGGAACTTCTTGCTTCCAGAAGTTGTGGGTGCTTCATCACTGGAGGCTTTTAAGAAAAGACAGGACAGCCATTTGTCTGAAATGGTAGAGTGGGGTGGACTAGAAGACCTCCAAGGTCCCTTCCAACTCTGATCGTCCTAAAGGTTCTTTTTCAAGAGGCAACTGGATTCTCTGTTTTTTCTTTGGAGATGTTTCACTTCTCATCCAAGAAGCTTCTTCAGCTCTGACTGAATGGTGGGGAAATGGAAGGATTTATACTCCTTGCAGACAGCTGGTCATTTGCATCCTTTTAGAGAGTCATTGAGGCCACTTGGAGGTTTGACTGTATCTTCGGGGTAACCTGGATGTTTATGCCCTGTGTCCTTTCACTGTTGAACACAGGTGCGGGCTGTTGGGGATGGGTCTGTTTTGTCTCCATCTCAGCAATTCCAAGAAGGCCCCACACTCATTTGCACCACTCAAGTGACTCTGAGGACACAGACAAACCTCCAAGTGGCCTCAACGGCTCTCTAAAGGGACGCAAATGAATATTCCTGTCTGCAAGGAATATTCCTGTCTGCAAGGAATATGAATCCTTCCATTCCCCACCATCCTGTCAGCGCTGAAGAAGCTTCTTGGATGAGAAGCAAAATGTCTTCAAAAAAACCCCAGAAAGTCCAGTTGCCTCTTGAAAAAAGCACCTGGGGGACAGCCACAACCTTGGGTTGACTGAGAATCTCCACAGATTTCCAACTCTGATATTCTATGTTCTGTTTTTTCAGAGCTGTTCTAACTTCAGTCGTTAAATGAATGTTTTAAGTCAAGGATTGCCTGTCTAATACCCTCTTTATGGCGATGTATCAAATTACAAAGCACCACTTTGCCTAATATAGCAAAATAAGGAATATGCAAGGTACCTCTAGCTACTTGAGAGGGCTGAGTCAAAACTTTAAAATCCAAAGCGTTGCTGACATTCTCCTCCAAGGCTGTGCAATATCCCTCCACCACATTAGCGATTGTAACTTTTAATGTTCCGAGATTGTAGAAAACTTGAAGAGCAGTTCCTTCTTGAGTAGGATTCTAGAACAGAGGAAAGAAATCAAGAAATCAAGAGAAAAAATGAGGGATCTGCTTTTAAGCAAGAGATTTACCTCAGGCATCAGCGCTGTTGCCATTCTTCCAAGCTCACACAAACTTTGGCTTCCTGCTCAGATTAATCCATTTTGTTTTATATTTGTGTGCAACAACCTCATTTAGGAGGGTCTTCCCAGTTTAATGACTAACTTATCTGCTTTTTAACCACGTTGCATTAATACATTACAATGGAAATATACCTATACATTATCAAACCTCAATACAGAGGTGTGCTATTTACAATGCACCTTATGATCACTCTAATATAAAGTAGCTGTGATGACCCGGGGGGGATACAAAATAAACACAGTCACAAAAACCCAGTGAAGCCCCTTTTTTTCCTTCACTTTGCTTCCAAGCTTCAAATATCCTCAAACTCCCACACAAACAGTTACAAGAAGGAGGAAAAAAGCAACACAAACCAGGCAAGATAAGACGTCTATAGATAGCAGAACACACACTGGGAAGGACGCCAAACTGAGAGAGGAACTACAAACTAGAGATATTTCCATGCTTTATTTCCAGCGTTTGCCACTACACAGGTTCCTCTTCTTATTCAGTTGTCACAGCTGCAGCCCATGAAGAGGATCAAGGCCCTCTCATCCTCAGTAGACCACGTCTCTCCCTTATCTTCTCCTCCCTGCGTGTCCTAGGATGGAGAGGGGATGGGCCTAGGTCCTCCTCTAACTGCCCAGCCGGCCTCTGCCCTTCCCCAGCCTCCTCCACAACCTCCGGAGCCACACTTCTACTCCCTGTCAGCTGTTCCTCTTCTCCCTCAGAGTCAGTCTCCACTAGAGGCATGACTGCATTAACAGAGGAATACAATCAAGATAGTGTGAAGTGTTAATTCCACTTTATAATGTTTTGATAAGATCGCATTCGGAACATTGCATCCAGTTTTGGTCGCCACGATATTAAAAAAAAATATTGAGACTCTAGAAAGAGTGCAGAGAAAATCAACAAAGATCATTAAGGGACTGGAGAATAAAACATTCGAAGAACGGTTGCTGGAATTGGGTATGTCTAATCTGATGAAAAGAAGGACTAGGGGTGACATGATAGCAGTCTTCCAATATCTCAGGGGCTGCCCCAAAGAAGAGGGAGTCAAGCTATTCTCTAAAGCACCTGAGGGCAGGACAAGAAGCAATGGGTGGAAACTAATCAAGGAGAGAAGCAACTTAGAACTAAGGAGGAAATTTCCTGGCAGTTGGAACAATTAATCTTTGGAACAACCTGACTCCAGAAGTTGTGGATGCTTCATCATTGAGAGACTTTAAAGAAGAGATTGAACAGTAATTTTTCTGGGGTGGGTCTCCTGCCTGAGCATGGGGTTGGACTACAAGACCGCTAAGGTCACTTCCAACCCTGTTATCATGTTATTCTGGATACAAAGTTCATTTAATTCACTTGGGCAGGTTGACTATGACTTAAGTCCCTTTAATTTAGTTGGGTACAGATTACCCAACTAAATTAAGAATAAAAATCTAATTAAGAATAAGAATAAAAATCTCTACCCAACTAAATTAAGAATAAATCCAGAGATCCCCGGCCCGCATCAATACAAACTCTATTTGCCTTGATACTATACAATTTTCCAACGCAACCCATTTTTTGAGCAGTCTTCTTTTAGAACCAGTAAATTGCTTTTTATTTAGCATTATTTGTTCATTCAAAATGTGCAGAAATAAGACGTTTCTTTGGTCATGGTACAGTGTGGAAATTCCACCATATTCTTTCATTTTGCCATAAACCCACTGTTTTGTTTTATCTAATCTATATATATAAAAGCGAAATACCCCTCATGCATCATCACAAAATCTCCAGAACTGTAAAGCCTACAAACTTGAAATTTGGCCCATATGTTCCTCTTGGCTTCTAGGGGCTCACTAAGAAAGGATTTTTCCAAATGACCATGAGAGCAATTAGTCTTTCCTATATTATTATTATTAACACACTCTGATGCTAAGGAGTTTTATTCCCCCTCCTCACCTGAAAAGAAATCTCTTCCAAATGCAGAACACAGAGGAGAGGAGTTTCAGTTTCAATTTCACAGCACCAAGTAGCTTTAGTACAGAACAGTGGAGCTAAACCATGCCAGAGCTCCTTGCTGTCTCCTTCCTCACAACGAATACTGCTACAGTTTCCAAACAGCCCTCAACTCTCTCACACACTGACAGGACGCTAGCCAGATGAATACCGATGGATGCTGGTAGGCAGAGGCACAATTTTTTCCCCTTATTTTCCTCCCCAAAAACTAAGCCTGACCACATAGTTACGTAATGAAGCACAGGTATAGAGGTAGTCTTTTATATTAGTTTTGTAAGCAATTGTTCCTGTCTTAAAATATTTTATACCCCTTTTTTTTGCACCAGTTTATTTTCAGCTCATTTTTAGTATTCTCAGGCTGTAGTATGTAAGTAAGACATGTGGGCAGACGCTGCATTAAGTCACATCGCTTTGCAGCTCTCTATATGGTAAACCTTCACTTTATAGTTAGAGGAAGAGTCTGTACATTTGAACATATGTAATTTATTTTACATAATTGCCCAATTTGTGTAATTGCATGGATCCTTTGCTTCAATCTATATCATTTATATAATATGGACATACTATATAAAATCCTGGATATTCTGCCTAGCTAGGAAGAGAAGGGTGGCGGTGGAAACCATTTTAAGCTGTTTTTTTCCATTTCTAATTTGAATGTCAACTATATGAAAAAAAGAGAGATCAGAATCCTGAATTACAGATTAGATGAACAGCTTTTTGGGATCCTTACGTTAAAACAACGTATTTCACCTGCGGTCAGAAGCCAAACATTACATAAAATAAAGCCCTTTATCTGAACAAAACCGTTACAAATGAGAATTGTGTATTTGGATCTGATTGGGAGGGGATAATAAAGGTGACACCGAAATATAATTTGCATTTCTTCGTTCTTTTACTCTGTTTTGCAAAATATGGTCTTATTGTTGTTCTGCATTTTGTTTTATGATGCCTCCTCTTCTTCCTCTCTGCAAACCCCACTCCCTTCTAGCAAGGATGATGTTACCTAATGGGGTAATGAAATGTAAGTACCCCACAGCCTATTCCTTCTCCTGCTCCTCCTGCTCTTCCCCTCCGCCTGCTGCTCCACCCCAACCTCCTCCTGTTCCTGCTGCTCCCCCTCCCCCTCCCGCACCTCCTCCCCTCCTGCTCCCCCCTTTCCCCTTGCTCTTCCTCCTGCTCCTCCTCCCTCTCCTGCTCTCCCTCCTGCTCCCACCCTCCTCCTTCTCCCATCCTCCTGCTCCTGCAGCTCTTCCCCTCCCCCTCCTCCTTCCCTCCTGCTCCCCCTCTCCTCCTGCTCCTCCTTCCCTCCTGCTCCCCCTCTCCTCCTGCTCTTCCTCCTGCTCCTCCTTCCCTCCTGCTCCTCCTTCCCTCCTGCTCCCCTCCTCCTTCCCCTCCTCCTGCTCCCCCTCTCCTCCTGCTCTTCCTCCTGCTCCTCCTCCTCCCCCC